AGTCTGTTTTTGTTAATGTTACTGTGCTGGAGCAGCTGTAACCCACATAATTTCCAGAGGGATTAATAAAGTATGCTGATTCTGATTCTGATATATCTATGCAGATAGTTTGGGGCTCTGTCCAAATTTTGCAGGTGCCTGAATTTAAATACCTTTTTCAGCATGTTCTTGACAGATGGCTAGGTTCCCAGTGGCTGCATCATGCCATATCCCACTGCAAAACATAGTGTATATTTACATTAGACAGTATGTAACCAATATCCTGGCAGTGGATAGGAAACTAACATTTACAGGAACCCACAGGAACCTTACTCCTCCCAAGTATATCCCTTTAAATTAATTGAAATTATGGTGAAGTATCTTGACTTGCATCAGCTTCAGTTAGTTGAACAAAAAAGCCTAACACCTGTTGGGTGATAACTGGTTGTTACACAGTACACTAGCCTTTCATAAAGCAATAGAGCTGTACTACAGTAGGACAAATTCATAAACAAAAGCTCCAATGAGTGTCAGCGAGTGTTGAAATATTGTGATAACATGATTTACGGGACATTGTAATTCCTAAGAGCTGCTTCATCCTTGATGAAGTGTGGAGTGATTCATCTATCAAGCTTTGTCAGGTGGTGCAACACCACTGGCAAAAAGTAAGCTAATAATGTTGCATATTATGTACACATTTCAGGGTGTGCTAGTATGACGTTATAGGATGTGAATCACACCTGTGTATGAATCAAGAGGTACACTGAGGAGTGTTTGAATACTAAGGAACATTGTTTTTTATAAATATGACCATCTTTTACAGTGTACATGATCTTGCAACCTATGGTGGTAACATTGGTAGGTTCTTAATAATGTTTGTATTAGTAAACATTACATTTTTATTTCAGCTTGCTGTTAGAAAAATGTAAGGCTACTTCATGCAATCTTTGGTTGCAAAGAATTATTCTCCATATTCTCCAGATATGAGTTCCATAAAGCTCTGAGGTCTTACTTTGTGTCACGTATGCACTGGGTGCCATCCCAGCCACAGTAAGGATCTCTGGATAACATACAGTCCTGGCAGGT